CCCCTGGGTGGGCTCGGCCCGGTGCCTCCTGGCGGCGCTCGGCAGCCCTGGCAACCGCGGCCCCGGCCTGGGCACCGCCCACCCTCCCTCTCTCCCGGTCTGAGGCCCCAGCCGCGTGCCTGCTCCCCAGCGTCCCTGTTGGGGACCCCCGGGGCGCGCCTGCCCCCCACCTCCGGCCAGGTTTGCTGGCCTCCAGGTTTCATTCCGCTCCGCACACCTTCCTTGCCCCAGCCAAGTCCCAAGGTTTTGCAGTGGGCTCTGGGTTTTGGAAAATAATACTAAAAATCCCAGCGTCTGCAGCACGAACAGACGCGCTTTCATCGCAGCCTCAAACATCCACAAACATGTGAACCTACATTACTGGGAATAGAAAGTCAAACATGCATTCCCCAGAGAGCCCCCTTTCCCAGCTGGAAGGACAGTTTGAGCCGACAGCGGCTTCAAAGTCTCCCCCTATAGCCCATGGCCCCTCGGAAGGGCCAGGTGGCAGCACTGGGCTGGAGGCCCCAGGAGACCCTAGGGACTCACCTCCCGGCCAGAAGCAGCTCTCGAGGCCATGCACCCTGTCAGGGAACAGCCGCAGCTGGGAGCATGCTGACTCTGCCCCACAAGGGGGCTTCTCAGAGCAGGCGACTTCTGAGCTGGATCTAAGCACCACGATGATGACCGTAGGTGGCCACGGCTTGCAGGCCACGGCCCTTTAACAGTCACCCTTCACCCGTCAGCGGAAAGTCACTTCTCTCCTTAAACCTGGCAGCTTCACTCCCAGTAAAACTCAATCTCCTTTTCATGACCAACAAGGCCGGTCAGGATTCCACCACCACCTGCTCTCGGGCCGGGGCCACATCTAGAACTCTCCATGCTTCAGCCACGCTAGCCCTCCCTGGCCTGGGGTGCTGTGCTGGCTCTCGCCTGTTCCCTGGCACCTGCTCCCTACCACCCCGCCTACCTCATCCCGCGCTCATCACCTTCGAGCAAGGTGGGTTTCTCAGACACTTCCCCCCCTTGGGACCTCACAGAATCAACACCCCCCTCGGGGATCAGTGCAGCTGACTCTTTACAGCCTGACAGTCATAACCAGGGAAGATGACTCTCCGCTCCCTGGGAGAAGTCACCGAGTTAGAGGAATCTTAGAAGAAAGCAGAGAGTTATGCTAGTGGGAAGAGGACACTGAAGTATGAGAGAACCTATGGCCAGGAAAGGGGATTGCTAAACGCCGCTCTTGCCAGTGCTCTGGGTTGCTGACACCGTCGTGCTGTTTTGGACGATCCCCCAAGCCGTGAACACCTGCGTTAAACTTCTAGACTTCCGAATCCAGAGCCGCCGCTCTCCCAGCAGAATCTAGCAATTGTTCACAGTCGCTTCCCCAGAGTCTCTTGCAGCAAAGATATTTGCAGTGAGCCAGACTCCGCCCATCAGAAGGGCCTCGGAACCCTGCTCCAGCGGCCAGAGGTGAGACGCCATCACCGTGCACCCTTGTGGGGAGGCATCCAGCCTTCCGTGCAGCCACGGAGGGGGCCAGGCTGGGGCGCCGGTGCCCAGGGAAGGCGAGGTACGCCGCGATGGCTGTGTCTGGCAGCAGTGTCCCTACGCGTCCCCTCCAGCAGGCCTGCAGGCCAGTATGGGATTCCAAGCCTGTGTCTTAGCCCCTCCCCCATGTCATAGAGCTCCGGGGTCCGGCTGCGGGGGGCGGTGCAGCGGCACATGCGTGAGCGCCACGGAGTTACACCAACTGGAAATCCCCATCAGTGATGGCATGAGGAAGTCTGAGGAGAGGGTGGCTTTGCCATTTGCACTCTGAGCTGCTGGCGGGATTGATAAAGCCCTTCCTAGGATCTCCTTTTCTGCTTACTCCAGCCAGAGTGGGTTCTGCTGAGTGCCGTTAGGGGGCATTGTTTCAAAGAGTTCAAAATAAATCAGTATCTCAGCTCTCAGGTGAGTGACAGCAGACACAGAAGACTGCAGACTCGGACACAGAGATCTTGGCCTCTCTTTGCTACCAGGAGGTGCGGCAGAGCCCCCCGGTCCCCCAAACAAGTGGGGGCCCAAGCCTATGGGTGCATCTTCTTACATCTGGTAAAGAAAAAACAAGACAAGGCGCTTGGAGAACAAATATAATTTATTTTTATAAACAATTCAGATCAAAGTAAGTCTTTTCTTTTAAAGGGTACTTTACTTGCTGACTTTTGCTATTAAAATTTACCCGAGTAGGGCCCTCCCTGGTGGCACAGCAGGTTAAAGCGCAGCACTAAGAAGCTAAAGCCACTTCAGCATGAGTTCGGTACCTGCCCGGGAGGTGACCACATGGCGCGGCAGACCTCTCCTGACCCGCCCGCTGCTCCCCTCAGCAGTGGCCTTCGAGGATCTGATCTGCCTGTTCTGCTCCCCACTCTGTCTCTGGTGAATCCTCTTGCCACCCTGTACCTCTGGCCTGTACCCCAGTTCTATATGCACAAATAAATCTTTTTAAAAAAAAAGTGTTCTTACCACCAAAATATTTTTTTAAAAATTTACCTGAGTAGGGAGCCCTCCCTGGTGACGCAGTGGGTTAAAGCACAGCACTGAGAAGCTAAAGCCACTTCTGCATGAGTTCGATTCCCGCCTGCCCTGGAGGTGACCACATGGCGCGGCAGACCTCTCCTGACCCGCCCGCTGCTCCCCTCAGCAGTGGACTTCATCGATCTGCCTGTTCTGCTCCCCACTCTGTCTCTGGTGAATCCTCTCACCCTCCACATCTCTGGCCCGTACCCCAGTTCCATATGAATAAATAAATCTTTAAAAAAAAATTTACCTGAGTAAAACGCAAAGACAATCTACAAAATGTGCATGGTATAAATTGTGTTGCCACCTCTGTTTCTCCCGTGTCTCAGGGCTAGCCTGAGGCCAGCTGGGATGGTCGTGACGCTATCCGTTCTTCTAGAATAAGCAGAAAACCTGAGAATTAAAGCGAACCTGTGTCCAGCTATCTGTGCCAGTGTACAATGCCAGTTTTCCAGCTCCATGAGTCACTTGGGATTGAGACAAGGTTGAAGGCGATGGTGGCTGTTCAGGAAAAGAAACGGCCCTTCCTGAAACACAGATGGCGCTTCTTTGTTCTCACCAGTGAGTCCTGAGAAGAGGCTCATGACCTAGTAGTAGCAATTGATATTTAGAACTCACCGTGCTGAAAAGAGCCACCCAAAAACAATGTTACTTCCGTCTATAAGATGGTTCTTAGCTTCGATTGCTTCATTGTACAGGTATTGTATGTGTTAAGCTTCACAAGTTAAAAAATGAAGTATCAAGTCAACTAGCTCACCGGTAATCAGTGTAATCTTTTCCTCAAAGCAGCCTTCCCTGAAGTCATATCTTAAATTAGTTTTTTCAAATCATTTTTTACCATTGTCTATGATAACAGCTGTTTTGTGATCCAGGAGCTACATGAATATTTAATGCACATGTATAACAGAAATGTAGTTTGTGAAACATCATTTACACTCACCACTGGAGTGGAACAATGTTTTACTCATGTTTCCTGTTTTACTCAACTCCATTCAGTTCTATTTCGGTTTTTTTAAGTATCTAGTCGTGAACAGCTAGAGAGTGCACGATTCACTGTTCCCCAGCCAACAGTTTGAAGAAACCTGGGTTATGCAGACCCCTCCTGCCCACTCTGTCTTTCCAATCCAGCTTCCTGCTTGTTTTTTTGTAAGCCTCCATTTTTCGTGATGAGGGATACCTCAGAGTTGTTCATTTCTGCCCAGCTGCAGACCAGAGGACAGACGCCTGTGTTCACAGCTGAATTCTGGCAAACTCTACCCAGCTGGAGAGCTTGCTCTAGAAACCCGCACAGATACCAGGACACAGACACATAGTGTGCAGTCAGTGGTGGGACAGAGACTTCCAGAAACAAACCACCGCAGAGCAGACCTGCTTGTGACCCGGCCTTGGCCGCATGGCAACCAGGGAAGGAAAGAACAGGTGCTTCTTTTGCCAGGAATACAGGGTCAGTGAACACACCTGCCTGGCCAGGTGCTGGGGTGGGCTCCTCTCCCCTCTGCTACTGCCCCCACCCCCAGCCCCACCCCCAAGGTCGGGGAGGAGCCTGCTTCGGAATGGGCTGTTCAGCACCTTTGCACGTAGGTATGTTAAAGTTAAACCTGTTTGGTTAACCAGAGGAATACATTGTGGGGAGCCTTCTTGAAAAACTGACTCTTACTGTTGTTTATATATATACATAAGCCTGGAAGACTACTTATTGAGCGTGTCTATGTCTGGTAACCAGTGACCCCAAATTTGCTGTCTAACAACCAAGCCTGGTCTCTGCCCTGTTACTTGTCTCTCCTGAAGGGCCCATGGCTCTCTATCCAGACCCCCAGACTCGAGGCACAGTCCCCTTCTGCTAGATGCTGGTCTGTGGAAAGGGATAAGGGGCAGAGGGGCAGGGCCAGGGGCAGCCTTATCACTTCTGCGGGACGTGGCTCGCTCACTGACGTGGGGTCCACTCCAGGTGATACTGGTCAAAGTGGGTCTTGGGCAAGTCTGGCAGCAGCAAGCCGAGAGCGAGTGGCCAGGAACCGTAATACAGTCGAGCAGTTTCTTTATCCAGATCTTTATGAGGGAAGGGGTAGGGAGCTCACCTCTCTTGACTCAGTGAGAACTTTGGGGCCTAGACCCGGGTGCCCTCACTTTGGCCATCTAACCCTAAGCACAGTCTAGCAGCCTCTCAGCTTCTTAGGCAGAGCCACTAGGGCGTCTTCTTTGCTCTTGCCTCGGGACTGGGAGCTGCGCGGGCCCTCCCTCCTGGCCCGCTGAGGAGTGTGCCTGAGCGTCTCTTCCGAGGGCTGTCACTCACTCCATATCAAGCCCTTCTACCTTCTGACCTTCTGGCTGAGCGTGGCTGCCCAGCCCCAAAGGCAGAGAAGTGGAGTCACATGGATGCCAAAGGCTATTTCCCCCTGGACTTAATGATTCATGACAGGAACACGCAATTCACAGCCTCGCAGGGTGGCCTGGCCTCTGCAGGAGTGGGCAGGAGGCCTGTGCACACTGACCTGGATGCAGTGCTCTTGCTCTGGGCTGGGCAGCCGTCACAGAGGCTTCCTGGGCCTGAAGGTTTGGGACTGGCCCCATGGGCTGGGTAACAGTCGTTGGTGGCAGCTGTAGTGCTGAGTAAGTCTGCAGGGCCTTGGGCATCCGGCGCTGTGGTCTTGTCTCCAGGCCCGGGTGGGGTCCACAGCAAGAGCAGGTGCAATAAATGGTCCCCAGTGTATTGGGCGATTGTACTAAACGGGGCTGGCTCTGTGGTCACCAACCACCAGCTCCTCTGCCTTCCTCTTCGCCACCACACTTGTCAAGAGCAGCCTCTGAGAACCCCAGCCACCAAATCCAGAAGCCAATAGTGAAACCACCTTAGTGCCACTGACAGATAACTGCATGGACACACAATCGGGTGCTCCTCAGCTATATAAAACTATGCAATGAAATCTTACCATGAATGGAATTGGAGGGGATTGTGTTACGCAAAGTAAGTCAGAAGGAGAAAGACAAACACAAAATAGTTCATCCTCACATAAAGG